GAAATCTTTAAACAGTTTCTAGAGTCGCAGAGGAATTTACTTCTATTTGACGATCACCTGTCGATAGGTACACTCCAGTTTGTATATATTAGGAAGGTTGATTTATCGAAGAAAGTTTGTCGCTTTATTTGGGTTACATATTTTGTAGTACCTATGAGATTCTGTTAGCGTAGGTATCGATTGTTAAACTTTAACAAATTCGCTGCTAGCGTCACGTATGTTAGGGTTACAGTTGTGATGATTAAAAGATAAATTACGTGTCACAAATTTCAAGCTTTTATATTTTTAATATCCAATTAAGAATGTAAATATTAGATTGTTGGCTAAAAATGTTTATGTACGATTACAACATATGTCGAAAAGAAGACTTTTAATCGAAATCAAATACACTATTGTTAACGATTTACAATCTTGACGAACCCATATTTAACGATTTTAAGACTATTATTTTGACATTTATTATCAAACAACCTAACACATCCTAAATGGTCTTGCAATAAAAAATAGTAGTAACGAAGCTCTTAATATTCTTCTAAAAATATCTGCTCAGTATCATCAATCACTTTCTCATAATTCTCCCACACTCTTAGTATTTTTCACACTCGCTAAATGCCCTAGAAATCCTCATGGCCACAGTGTACACCTGACTGCGAGAAGATTCTCCCAGCGCACTATTTGTTTACGTAAATGCATTTCTTCTACGTCTACGCCCACGTTTATGCAATGACACTGATTCCACCCACGCTTCTGTGTCCCATAGGTGCAAAAAGTAACACGATACCGTCCCCCAGTGAAAGAGGACAAAAGAGGGGCCGGATCGTGCGTACGAAGATTACGTGAAATAGAAAGGACCGGTGGTCAAACGACTACTGCTGCGTCAAGATTCGCCGGGGATCTGATTGGTCGATGCTCGGCGTGGGATCTTGTAGCCACCCTTATAGATCAGCGGATCGTCGACCCGTTCTGCAGTCCGTCGATCACGAAGATCGCTCGATACAACGCGCGAGGACCGTAGAAGACACGCGAACATGTTCGGAGGAACGATTTTTTTCATTGGTGTTTTGTGCTCCGTAGCCACGGAGGGGGTAAGAGTTTTATTTTAATTACAAAATTGGCTTTAATTTTTACTTAGTAATTATTGTAAATACATTTTTAGTTTATTTGAGTAATTTCTTGCTCTTTTAGTGAGAGCATGTATTGTAAATTTGTAAACAGGTGAAGACAGGAATTTAAGTTTAGTGTTGGAAATTTAAATCGATCCTGATAGTTAATTAGGTAGTAATCCTTTAATTTCCGGCGTTGCACCGGTGCAATACTAATTTTAAAAGGGTCAAATTCTGTTACCGGTTCATATCTAATTTTTGCTAGCAAGAATACGTAATTTCACTGATAGTAAAGTAGATCTCAATTCAAGCATTTCCTCTAAAAATAGATAAGAAAAAGAAAAAATATTTCGGTTTAAGAACCGATATCTCCGACTTCAAAATAACAAAATATACAACGTGTAATATCAGTTTCATAATATTGAAATAACGATTTAAGGATCTGTGCGTTAAAGGGTTGCGTCGAGTCGTGAGTTCCATTGTCCAGATTAGAAACATTATTGGTTCCTGGTAATAACGTGATCTTTCACAGAAATCATATGTAATAAATTTGTCAAAAAAGTAAAACAGAAATTTAAGTTTAGGGTCTGAAATTTAACTCAATCCTGATAGTTGATTACGTATCAAGTTGAATCATAAGCAACTTCAACTTGTTTTCTTTTTAATTTATTATTTTCTATCTTTACAATTCACGTTAGTCTATTAAATATTCCTCGTTATTATTAGTGAACAGTTTCTATTTATTTGTCGGTCAACATTGAATAGATCACGTACATTTTTTTATCAAACATTTGCTCTGTATCAGATGGACACTAATCGACTCCAAAATATCGAAACCCTTCAGTTTATTAAATTTATTATCGCACAATGTCAAGAAAGACCGGTAAAGTGAATAAATATGATTCCTTCGATCGCGATCGCAGTTAATTTGAATGTTAAACCTTTTATCTTTGTAATACAATCTTCACTGCAAAGAGCCAATGACGCGAGTCCAAGAGGCATGCTGACCTTTCGATTAACAGGGCACGCAGAAAATCGTTTGGCGCTCTTTATATGTAGAAAAGTGAAAGCTGCGGGGAACGTGGGCACTTTAACTGTTCGCGAGTGTATTCTACGCATCGTCGTGAACGAATACGCCGAAAGGCGTCCCAAAATATATCGCCGCGAGTAGACTTGATTGCGTAGGTTGGGTTTATCGCGACCTATTATTTCAGAAGATTCGCCAAACTTTTTAAAAAAATACCACATTGTCGGACGTGGAAACACATCTCGTAAATTAAATATTGACGGAAATAAATTTTATTGCAGGCGAACTTGAGGATAAAGCGTCAGAGCGATTCGCAACAGGGTGGCAGTGTGATAGACAATATCTTTAATGTGAGTACTATATTTTCTGTATCAAGTGTTAATTCTTTTTAAGTGTTGATTTTGTTCTTCGTGGAGTGAGTAGACTGTGGATATTCATGGAAATACTAATAATAATATCTTCATTACAATATAGAAAAAAAAGTAGAACAAAAAAAAATATAAAGGGGAGACGAAAAACATTAGAGAAAAAAAAGTAAAAAAATACAGAACTAGAAACGTCATAAGTAGACTGCATATATGTATGGAAATATAGATTGCTCGATCATCGAGGTTCATGATTAAAATGAAATTTCACTTGTTAGATACCGATCACGGCGATCAGACAAACAGGTGCCGCAGCGCAGACCTTCACTCCAGAAAATTCCCAAGCAATCGACAGTATCTTACAGGTACCAGCAAGTCACTGACCCTCTCTATTATACAAGATCCTCGAGCTTGATTCAATCCTTATCGAATCGTTTTCTTCTAGATTCCGATACAGACACTAGAAGCAGTCGGGAATCTGGTTAAATCGACGTCAGGACAGAGGGCCCTGAATTCCGAGGAATTCCAACGGATACGACAGGAACGAAGAGACAGACTGGTGGCCCAAAGGGAACGACAAAGACAGCAAAGGGATCAGATACAGCAGCAACGATTGAAACAACAGCAGATTAAGAGGACCATCAAATTTCCGCATAAAGATCCGTTCGGATTGAACGCGTTGTCGAATCTTCTGGTTGGTAATCATGGTTTATTAGGTAGTTTTGGTGGTCACGGTGGTCATGGAGGGCACATGGGTCATGGTGGGCATGGTGGTCATGGTGGTCATGGAAATCATGGTAAATATTCCGTCTGTTTGCGTACAATATATTATTTTACTTGCAAGTAGTTGTAGATAGTGCAGGCTCCTTTCGATTATCGTCCGGCTTGTTCTACACGATTATACACAGACAGCTATTATAAATCGAAATAAAAATAGAAAAAATTTGAATAAAAATCGAAAAGTGGAATATAAAGGATTAAAATAAATTCTGGTGAACAGCATTTGGAGCTATTTATACAAACTATGCAAAATTATTTAAAAATATTTAGAAATTAAATTTGGACAGAATCTTGAATTCTGTACTAGAAGCTTCACATAAATAATACTGAATTTCATTAAAATTTTTGTTTTATTGCATTCTCCGAGTTGAGGAATGGAATAAATGCATAAACATCCATAGTCTAGACTGATCAGCCATTTATACAATATTTCCTATCAACCTAATACACTAGTCGTTCTTGCTAATCGTCAATTCAATTGGACCACTTTTCACCCTGATTCGATAGCATCGAAAGAATTTATACCAGTGAAACACAAAAATTGCAAAAGATCCCATAAACCAAACTAAATTTTTATTTAAATCGTCGAGCGTCAAAAAGCAACAAAAGAATGCACTGATACGCAGTTTTTCTTTCCTCGGCTAATGTTCATTTAAATAAACATGCAAGCATGCAAGATTCGCCGTACAGTAGTTCGCTAAAAGGTCGTGAAGCTGATTCAGCCATTGAATTATTCCGGTTCGCGTCACCATTCCAAGATACGCGGAACAATAAATCTCGTCGTGGATTTCCCAGGACAATCCGTCGCGTATAATACACGGAAAATATTTTTAGGCATCCACGGAGGCCACGGGGGCACGATGAACAACGGTCAGCATACGTACGAGGTCCACGAGAACATCGACGAGGACTCGTCGTACATCTGGCACGGGATCACCGCCGGAATAGGAACGTACCATGGATCCAAGCCGACCAGCACAGTCACGACGATCACGAATAAGATCGCGCCGAAGGATCACAAATCGATCAAGTACAATTACGAGGACAGAATACAAAACAAATTGCCGACCACTGATATAAAGGATCCACTGGACTACGAAGACGATCCACCGATACGGAACAAGATCGCGCCGAAAAGCAACAGAATATCGTTTCAATCGTGAAAACCGTCGAATCTTGTGCAAACGAATTTAGTTCTTCTCATCAGGGCAATCTCGATTGCCCGAAAGTTTCACAAAAACAGTATTAAAGCACTCCATATGCGTAATTTCACGGCTATAGCCAATACGAATCCGGCAGAATTGTGTGGATTTATATTGTACAATCGATAAAAACGTTGTTGGTAGGGGAAACGATCGACGACGAGGGTTACAGGTCTCAGACGAAACGAGTTGTCGAGTAATCGTTTTATTGTTGCCATAATACTGTGAGCACAAACGAGGAAGATCAAGATACCGTGATTATGCGTCATCGGATCCCCCACCACCAAAACTTGTTTGATCCATGGACTTCTAGATCCTGGCGAGGACGGACACGAAAAATTTCAGAATTCGACTACACTGGGCAGGTAATTGAGATGCACGTTTGGTCGCGATTCCGTCACGCTAGATTATCCTATTTTTACGGCAAAGAATGTATTTTCGTCACCGAATAAGGAAATAAACAATCTTTTTTTTACTGAGATATATGAGTGTTCATTGTGATGTCACAATTTCATTCTTAACAGCTATTACCTTGGAGCTTCACAAGCTTACACGTTGAATTAATTTTGTGTGATTAGTTATAAATGACAAGAAAATACCTTGTTTTAACGAATAACGGTCTACTAATAATATTGAATTAAATTTTTACGAACTCCCAACACTAAAGAATCTAAAATCTTCATTTTCAAATACGTTCTAATCATTGAAATGTTGTAGACCAAAAACTATTCAACCGATTTTGACCAAACATGGCTATTAGACTTCCTAGAAATATATATAATTTAGAACAAAAAAAATCGCAACACAATCGGATCATTAGTTGACCAATGGAATCATAGACAAACAGACACACACACACAAACGCAGGCGTCAAACTTACAATACACCTCATTTTTGCGTCGTGTGTTAAAAATGAAGTATTGACGGAGATAACAGAAGTGACGCGAAACTATTCACAGAGGTTGGCTACAAGGTGGTTAAATTTCGATTAACAATTCTACCTGGTTACGACGATAAGAATTTTAACCAAACTGTAGGTGTTTCCCTTATGACTAATTATAAAATTCCCTTACGACGAAATTTCGCAGTACGTTTTGGAGTAAGGGCCGGTGAATTTTACGAATTTGGCGTTCAATTTCTTCGTTGAGTCTCTGAATTGTCTCAGAGTGATTTGCATAGACCTTACTTTTCAAAAAGCCCCAGAGAATATAATCCAAACAGGTTTAATCGCAACTACTTGGCGGCCAGTTTTGGTCTCTAAGACGAGAGATGACAAGACCTGGAAACTTCGTTTGCAACAACGTTTGTAATGTTTATAATGAACTTTCACTATTAACAAACGTTCTTCCAAAGTGTAACGCGTCATTTTCGTAAATATCAATGTATTAACTAAAAAACCACCAAATATGACTGACCCACCGTTTGACAGATGAAAATGGCGCACGATTCGAAATTCAAGTTCTTGCCGAGACACCCTTTAGTCTAAAGTGTTCAGAAATCAAGACTGCGAAGGTGTCCCGACGACATCGGTTTTACGTGCAGTTACCTATTTTTTCGTTTTCCTCGAGCGTCGCTGGTGCATACAATTCCGCGACAAAATGGTAATTACTCGGTGGTATGGTATTATATTATTTTCCAGGATATCGTAATGTCTTACCGTACATATGAAAAATACAGTGTCCGGCAAGGTTGAATGATTCACTCTACTACAGACAATAAAAATGCACAGTCGAGTTCACCTGGTGGAAGAATGGAAAAGTACGAAATTTCATCAGTCTTTAAGCCACAACCAATTCGTTGATGCCCGAGAGAGTTCGATGATCTTTGCGTTGATCGTGCATAAGCATCATTTCGTGGCTGTCGAATGAAAAAATTTTATGGATTAACGGTACATTTTAGGAGCCATTTGCTAGTCAAGATCGGTACATTGGCATCGACGACATTCACCACGTACCATTAAAAATCCTGTTATTCCTGTTCGTCGAAGCTATATCGAGAGAGATATGCTTTATCTAAATTCTATTGTATCGTTCGGAAAATCAGTAGTGTTTCGAGCACATTGTCTTTGTTACCTTTTTACTGGACAAAGGAAAAATCGATTGGTTTGGTGAAAAGGTACCATTTTCCAGGTCTGGATGGAATATATTTACTGTATACGTTATTCGTTTCTTTTTTTTTGTTTTCTGTGAGAAATACCGACGAAATGTATGAACAAAGATAAAGAATACTTTCATTACATCCTAACCTAGTTATGTAAAAAAATTACGCAAATTCAACTGGAAAATTTGATCGCATCTACCTAATTAATTGGACTTTACCCCGTCAATTGATTATTTCTTTGTATCTAGAAACAAAACTTAAATTTTCTTAAGCTAAAAGTAAAACAATTGAAGCTGTACATAACTAGTAGAATGAAGTTAATCGAGAAACGGAAAAAATTGTTAAAAAAGTACTGAATAAGAATACGATATAAATTGAAAAATATTTGTAACTGAACAACCTAATACAATAATAAACAGGGGGCTTAATTCACCTTCGATCCCGGAACATTCTCTGCGTTTCATTTTTTTCCGTTTGTTTCCATTTTGTTCATTCGTTACGTGGCATTTAGTCATCGCTTGATAAAAAAAAGACTGTTATTTTTTACGCGACACACACGACGATCATTTCTTGTCGCAATTCTGTCGTGACGGTTTTTTTTTTTAATAACATCGAGTAAATAAGATTATTATTGAATGCGTCAGGTAGAAATTACAGAGAAACAAACACAACGGTATAGTCTTCTCGATGCAAAAAAAACTGATGAACACATTAAAGTACTTCCAAGAATCTCTCCTACTTTACAAAGTCTGTACCTCATCCAACAAGTCCAGTCAGAAACTGTGAACAAAGGGAGGTAATGACCATTTAGGTGGGGCAGGGACAGAGACAGTTGCCAGGTAATAGCTGGGCTTAACACAAAAATGTTTTGGTTATTTTAACTGATTTGTATCGTCGGACCAACCATAGTTTCAAACACGACACTAATATTGCAAACACGTAGTGGCCATGTAGTAAATGGGGACATAGACCATCTAGTTAAAAAATGAGATTATTGTGAAATTGTTAGAGTTTCTAGTTTCGCGGTTATTGATGTTTTTTTTCCTGTGGCTGATGTTATCGTTAGAAATTAATGGTACCTCTAATTAGCGATTTTGTATATTGTGGTAGTTATCAATTCTATTGTCTCAGTTATCAGTGTTAGACTCACGTGCTTTCTTAACGTCAAAATTGTAAATAGGAAAGCTGAAGTAGACACAGAAAGACCATTAATTATAATTAATAATCACCATTAACTATAATTCTAATTTCATACAATATTTAGTTTAATTTCACTAGAATAATTACCACTGTTTTTTATGTGTTGGGTCCAAAATCCATTTCTCGGACCAGTTTTCTAAACAGTGGTCACTTGATAATTACCGTTCTCCCGAAATAAGAAGTGTGTCAAGGATGTTCTTCTCATTTTTGAATTCGAACATTCAGTTCTACGGATAATTGGTCGATGCAAGAATTGACTATTCTAAATAATGCAATTTCGAAATATTGTGAAAGACATCATGCAAAAGTTTCTATAATATTAAGTATTTAGTAACAAACACAATTTAAAATGAAAATTAAATTTCAATTAAAACGCAATCCAAATAGTGAGTGTGTCAGTCTTATACCCGGTGGTTTGGTCAACATGCGAATTTGCCACCTATTTTACAAACCAGCGTACTTCACACTTTCGTTATAATGAACACACGTATTTGAACTGCTCATTAAGCCATTTAGATATTCATCGTAAAGGTTTATGTTTATTAGTAAAACAATTTTCCGAAACGTGTTTATGGGTGCACATTTTCTGAACTATAATTCCCTGAAAGAGGTACTAAAACCCTGGATTACTACATGAATATCTGTTAGAGAAAGGTGTACTCAATACGGTGAACGGTGGAGAACTTAATACATTCATTTGCATAGTTTGTAGTGAGCCATTTGTGCAACATGACAAGGTGATCAGATGCTTTTCCTTAAAATAATTTTTTATTTAAAAATGATATATTTAGAAAAACTATGTAAATATTTTCTTTTGTCATTTTTGAACACTCGTTTAGCTATTTTTAATATAATACATACATATGTACGTGCATATATCCCTACCTTGAAGGAACCACATGTGACACACCTGTGATTGCAGTATCAGAATCATCAACCCAATGCATTGACTGTAAAGATGGACAAATTTATTATTTAAATAAGGATATAAGGATATATAAGAATATAATGAACATATAACACATAAGAAACAAGAAGCTAGTGTTCATTTTTTAATATGTACATTCGGTGTTTCGTAATACATTTGAAGATTACTTAACAGATGTACAGTGTACATAAAGACTATGAAAAAAGTTCATGCAAACACGTGTCCTATTTGCCTCTGTTTTCGAGTAATCGCTATTTCTGTATTATAAACGTTTATTTTCATAAAAAATACAACAAAATGGCGACCGTCGGCTCGAATGTCAAATGCAGTCACGGTGTAAAGGAGTTTTTGAATAATTCAAGAATTTCTGTGAAAAAAGGTATAACCGTGTAGTGGATACCAATAGTTTAGTAAAGTCAATTACGCTACAACATAAAATTTTTATAACTTGAGGACAAGGTCAAATAGGACACACGTTTTTACAAACTTTTTTTCAATGTTTCATAACACTCTGTACACGAGAATTTTAACTACAAAGTAAAATAATGTTTCCTTCTTGATTGCCTAGACATACAAGTAACAATTAAATTGGTTAATTACTTGAACGACAAGATAAAGCTGGAACATACCTACCGTTTATTTGCGCAATTCGAACAAAATTGTACATATCTTTGATTGAAAGTTATGCGAGACAAGCTTTCATCATAAACCCCGAGAAGGAATGTTGAAGTAGAATAAAGTCAGATTCAAATGATTCGATAGGATTAAAGGAATAAGTACCGAAATAAATGTTGACTCATGCAGTTTCCGTTACGGTGTAAAAGAAAGATTGCACTCTCGGAATTTTAAGAACATTGTGGTCAACAAGATAAAGGAAAAAGAGTGGTAATATAGTCCATGATAATATTCAAATTAACCAGTTAAATTTCTTATGTACCATCGAGAGTGGCTTACTTTTCCTTAAAATACTGCTCTTAAAGTCACACACAACCTACCATTCTTTCAACCATATAGTAATATAAACTGAAAAACATAGTAATATAAACTATAATTCTAATTGAATATAGTAAAATGTTTAATAAATTCGATTGAAGAAAAAAACTTGTACGATTCTAGCTTTCACAAATTACAGTTACATCGTTCACATCAACAAATTAATCATATACATGGTGGTTCACTTTACTTCATAACGTACTTGTCACATTACGAACGAATTCATTTTTAAATAACTGCTATTACGATTCGTTGATTTAGCTTCGCAAATGTTCCCCTCATTTCGAATATCCGATCCATTCAAGTCACAATACACTGCCCACATTCTTGGGGCCAAAATTCATTAATTCAACTTTATGCATACATAAAGTTCCCCCCATTTCGCACATCCGATCGATTCCTCAATATCATTCGCATCGATATCCTGTCTACGACCTACAGTCGCTCTTCAACCATCAAACAACAATCTATTCTCGGTCGAGTCAAAAATAACTTCAGTCGTGGACACTAAAACAATTACCAACTAGCAATTACCAGCGTCATTTTCAAAATACGAATCGTTTAATCATAAATTGAACACAATTTACTGTAACTTAAACTTCTTTTTACAATGAAAATATATCTTAAACTATTTTTCAACACAGTCCCCGTTGACATCTAAGCATTTTTGTGATCGAAAGAACGAGCTTGAAATAATGACCATCGTAAATAGCAATAGTTCGTAATAGCTAAGTTCAGAGATATTGACATTGCATAGATTGATATTAATCGTAAAATGTCTTGATTCCACCTAATTTTTTAAAAAATAGCCAAACGTTAATTATTTATTACTCACCCGAATAAAAGTGAATAAAACTGGTGTCAGTCACCATAACATCGCGAAGAAAGGATTACGTTTCACGTGCAAACGGTGTGTCAGTTACGCAGAACTGTCCTTGAACCCCATAATCACGGTGCGTTCTGTACTTTATTATCGTACAAACCGACTTACGCATTCGTAGTCGACGAGCGTCGTCAGCTGGCCGGAAAGGTTTATATCTTCTTGGGACCACCGTACATCAGGCTCGTGTATCCCTTCCCGTTACGGTGAGCCGGATGATGCCTTCGAGGTCTTTTTAGAAAACAGGTAGGATACCGTAGTGGCGAACGGTGGCGCGCGTCAGTTCATAGAGAGATGCTGGGACGCAAGGTGGTTACCGTGTTTGTTCTTTGTTTGGCAGTTCTCGCCAGCGGGATGCCGCAGTCGCCCGGTTACGATAACCAACAGCCGTCGTTGGGGGTGAGTTTCGGGACGATTAAAGAATTTTTCAAAAGACGACACGAATGTGCTACCATTGTTTGTTCGGTTGCTCGCGGCATCGTGAAACAGCAATTTTGTGGGCGACTTTTGTCTGTCACGTCGGACGATTTTAATAATATGGAAGATGGTGATGGTTGAACGATTCAGCTGCGTAATTGCTATATTTAGAATTTTTTCGGATAATGGAATCGATTATACAATGTTGTTAGACACGGTGAACAGGTGCAGACTGGTGAACGTTAGAATCTACGTTGATATTAAATCTGATTTGGATTAGAGTAAATTAATTTGTAATCGTAAATAACTTTAACTCTTCTTGTTTCAAATTTACTCTTTGGCAGGACAATTAGTTTATTATGTTACGTCGTTATTACTGGTCAGCTTTTTATTTGCTTGTCGATCGATCTCGAACGTGTGACGAAATTTCTTCGGGGAAATGCGATTTCCTCTGTAACAGGTAATTTAAAAGGCAATTTAATGACACAACTGTGACAGTACGTGACAGAATTAGAATGATGCATGTCAATAAGAAGTGGGCCGCCAGAATAATTACTATGAAGTAAATAAGAAAAAATGCAACTTTTTCCAAAGGACTTAAATTCAATCATAAGGAGCAAAATTTATTTGTTACAATCAACCAATTACACATTGCAAAGGAAAATGATATGTTCTAAATTGAGCGTTTGCCGCCAATAGAAATTTAGAATTCGCTTGTTCAGACACTTTTTAACGAAATGCACAGCGAATTTCCTGATTCTTACACCACGAGCTTCAATCTGTTTAAAATATCATGAATTTTAATGGCACCTAAAGTGCTGAATATTCACACGGCCATATCAATGGGCTAGCAACAAATGAACTGAAAAGATAAATCGATCCACGGGGAAAGAACCGAAAGGAAAAGTTGCAACGGTAGAAGACTATTAGATAACCTAGAAACGCAGCCACGGTAGGAGAAAGGATTGCGGAAGCATGTTGTTCGTCGTTCGCGATCGTTATATACCCAAGTTATGGATCGATTAAAAATTTTGTTCGTTGACCTTATCGTCGTGACGACTATCGTTACTTCGAGGAACAACTTTAAATTGCATGTTTGTTATTCGCCGAGATAGTGAACCGTGGATAATACTCGAAAATTGCGATAAGTCGTACGAAAGTTTTAGAAAGTAAATTTTACGAAAGACAGGCGTTGTATTAAGAAAATTGCATTTAATTTTTTAGTCATTTGGTTCGTTATCCGACGCACTTTGGAATAAACGATGTCTTTAAGGTGTTCCGACGGTAATTTCATGCAAAATTGTGAGACTAAACGCAGGGTCATCTTTAATAGAATCGCAATTGTGAGTGCACAATAATGAACATTGTTTAGTTTGCCTCTGGAGGAAGAATTTTCTTAGAGGTGGATAGAAATGGTTCAATTTTTTGTACACTCTTTAAAGGCTAAATCATTGTAGTATAATTCAGCAGAAAATAAATTTTATTTGTGTTTACAACTCGAATCTAGACACTTTTGCCAACGAAATAGAAGTCTGCTAACTTGTTACAATGGAATTTTGGAATTCTAGAGTCAATTTTATTAAATTTTATTTAATTTAAACCCATGATTATTGGGCGTAGACAAACAGAAAGAATAAATAACACTCTGAAAAGAATGTTGCGACTCCACTCCTTCCTTACTCATTATTAATTTATGTAATATTAACGACAATAAACCAGCAGTAATCAATAAAATAAATATATAGTTAATTTGATAATTCAGAACTCGAACTTCTGGAGACGTCTATCCTCAATCAGTAATTCCGGAAAAATCCTATTACCTAAATAATATAAAAATAATTATAAAATTATTGAAAATATAACACTTCGACGTTGGTAGACATCATCCATCTTCTCGATAGTGGTGTGACGCGAGTGGGCCTCGTCTTTCCACCTCGTGTTCGCTCCATCTTTTTTGTAGTCACTTGAGTCTATTTGTCTAACAAGAGAAGACCTACATCCCCTAAATTCCAGAGTGACATCCTGCCTAACCGATGCAGTGCAAGAATTCTCGTTTGAAATCGGCATACAACTGCCATCTTTAAAGAATTTTTATTGAGACTGTGATCGTAAAGATCCGTTTAAATATTACGAAAGCACCAGACCATAGCTGAATTCGTTCCGTTTCGACTCCCTTCACAGCTTCCATTCCTCCAGTTCACTAATGGCGGGATTAGATTCAATTTCGGCGGCTACCACGCGGAAGCTGGACTAGGCGGCCTACTTGGTGGCTCGAAGACAGGAGGAGGACTCCATGCAAGCGCAGGAACACCATGGGGTGCAAATGCGGCTGCTGGCTTGGGTGGATTGCTGAGTGGCGATAGCGCAGGCGCACGTTAGTAAAGTATACCATAAAATACTCGAAAATATGCTAACACTTATACGAGGTATTTGAACGTGAATACAGGTTGTCCCACCTAATATGAGCACCTTAAATATTTCACTTGTTTTCGAAGATACAAACAAATGTGAAGGGCCAATGTTTGGTTCGAAAGGGCAACTATTATGATACACAACAAATTTTTTAAATATTCTAGGTAATCAGTTTTTTTTTTTAAATAGGACTATTTATTTTTAACATCGTGGAGTAATAGTTGATGTCAAGACCAATTTAATGACCTATAGTAGTGTGACCTTCGTTTGACCTTGAGCATGAAAAATCCACAAATGTAAGGAAGTAGATTTAAATCACAAAGCAACTACGATAGAGGTATTATTCATGTTTGTTTGTATAACAGAAATAAGCCTCGTAAGAGGTTTTAAGTGCTTAATAAAAAAAAAATACACAATCTTACGTAAACAAAATGTCTGTAGAGGGAGGTCTTTACGCGAGGGCGAACCTCGGTAATGGAGGACCAGCAGCCGGCGCTGGTTTGGGTGGCGTACTGGATGGAAGCGGAAGATCAGTCGCCCCAGCCAGGGGTGGCCTCTACGCAGGTGCAACCACAGGTGCCCAAGTTGTTCATCCGCCTGAAAATGGTATCAGAAAAACAAACGAAGCAACCGATATCATAGAAAAACCGGTCAAAAGTCGTACAAACATTCAGATCATCACGCGTTCCGAAAAGAAGCCTGAGAAATTGCAACAGGTAAAGACTGTATTCTCAATGTTAATTATTAATCGAACCTCTTAACTACTTTTCTCCCGAATACCTAAGACATGATGATATTTTATTACGTTCTCTACTACAGTTCATCTTTTTAACTTTCATATTCGGTGCCTATTTAGGGATATAGGGCCAAGGTAAAATGGTTACATTTATTGTTCCATTCTTAACCCGTTGCTCGGTATCTATAGCTTTTTAATGATGGTAATACCTTTTTAATACGTAATGTAATTACGAAGGAAGATGGATTGTCTGTGGGGAACGTTCAAGATTCAGATATCTGTGTCTGAAGAAAATATGATGGTTCACCAAGATTGCAAATATTCCACTATTTTTAATACCTCATGAGGTCTCTGTGAGTCGTTCACAGACCAAAGTACAGAAGCAAAAAGAGTTTCCTTGATAGTTTTTGTGGAGTTAATAATTTTGGTAAAAGAACGTTATTATCATATTGTCATAGGTAATGCCTGTTGAGCTTTGCCACTGTCCAAACAATTAAAGACCCCCAATAATTTTGTAGTATTCTTTACATTAACTTCCTGGTATCATTTTGTTGTTTAATTCGAACTTGCCCGGACGTTTGGGTCTCACGAAAACACATTAAACGGAGGACTTACAGTTCACTTTTCAAGGTAAAACTTTTTCAGGCGCCCAGTGACTCAGCGTATACACTGAAAGAGGTAGACCAATCCGCGGACAAAGTGGTAAGTCATTATTAAATTCATGATATTAAAAACCGTGGAAGATGATTCAATAACCGATGAACATGATTACGTCAGATTCGAAACATAGAAACGGTCAAGGCAGCGCCCATTGCGTCGGCAGGTGTTTTCGGCGCTCTTGCCATCGAACCTGCTCCGCAGGCACCCGTGCTAGCTCAGGTGGAAAAGGTAAAGACAATAGGTGGGCTTGGGGCTATCGAGCCAGCTCCCCTTGCGCCTCCTTTGCAGAGTCAAATCAACGAGATCGTCGAAGTTGGTGAGTCCTCGACGATTGACAATAGTCATAAACGAGAATTTTCATTGATACTTGTTTTAAAGAATATTTTTTATTACAAATTTACACGTTTTTGAATCTTGTCTTTCAAGTTCCACCTCAGCCAGTGAGAGTCGTGTATCCAAAATGGGTCTGGAGAAAGAGGTTATTAGGGCACAGGAAGCAAATCATTCATAATACTTCGGTAGAAGTTCAGGACCCGTCCAATTTAAATACTCAAAAAGTTTCCCGCCGTCAGGCTCAAGATGTCCCGAGGGATGCATATGCATCTGGAACAAATGTTGTGCCAGTAGAGTACGCGAACAAGAATGACGGAGTGTTCGATGACGTCTTTAATGTAAGTTTCCTAGTTTATGATTATGTAATTTTTCGTTAACTATATTCTAAAAGCTAATTGTAATTATATAGAAGCTAGTCACTGTTGTATAGAAGTTTAGTTACTTGTACAGAGTGAAAAAGTTCTATTGTAGTTGTATAAGTTAGCTGGTTTTTTTTCTATTGAGGTAATTAATACAGATAATATTCGACATTTCAATCGATATTCACCTAATTATTATGTTTTCCAGATACCTATATCGACATTAAACGCTGTCAACCAACTGCTTAACCGCAACGCCGGTTGACCAATAGCATTTAAGCGTATACTCGAAACTTCTCGCTCGCGACGCGTATTTACGCGTGACTTCGTGGTAATGGAAACTACTTGTTTTTAGAAACTATTTTGTATACTAGTTTTCAGGTGCATTTCTAATTAAATTATGTAACTTATCATTCTATTTCATTTTTCTCCCAGAATCTCCTTCTACTATCGTACAATAATTATCGAATGATTTTCTAAGTTCCATAAACGAAAGAAATGAACATTAAATCAAAACTATCGAACACTGAAAGTTGTATCCACGTGTTACATATTATATTATACATACATTTGTATATATTATAATATTACGTAACATAAAGTACGGCGACCAGACAGTGACTTGGTGTTGGATTTCTTTATCGTTTATGTTTGTATTCAAATGGATTTTTATTGTATGTTCAACAAGTTTGTCATACACAACTATCTACAGGGAAGTATTACGATATACGTACACGGGGTTAGGTGATAAATATTAGAAATGTGGAAGGACCATCTAACAAAGGAAGGACCTCAACTGTCCGACTGACAATGAGATTTTACAATGATCATTTTAGGATTTGTAAAATGATAGACTACAGGTTCCTAATGGAATTTGTGAAATATTTCATTTGTTTTGTGAAGACTGAAATATTTCAAGTTATTACAAAAAGAAACATGTTTCATCCTTTTCAATGATAACTGGCATTTTTAACATTTACCAAGATATAACGTATTTCAAACACTGTAGCGAAAAGTAGCACGTTTCATGGGTTAAAGGCTAGCACAGTTCAGTTTACAAACAATTGAAATAGATGCTAGGCAATATAGCACTTGTTTATATCTTTGAAAGTATCGAGAGACCACACCTAATATTTCACATATATCATTAGGAATCTGTATATTATATTATCACTTTACGAAACCCCGTTAAAATCGAAGTTGAACAGTTTGGGTCCTTCCATAGTAAGACAAAAATCAAGAATGACGAAATTGCGTTCGAGACTTCGTTTCCGAGTTATTAATTGTTTAAAATATCAGTGAAAACTCCACGAATTGCTTTCATTCGTTTCATTTTATTTCATTCAATATATTTAACTAGGTATTTAATCGAGACAGTGTATCGCATTTTCAACAATTAATGCCTGAGCAAGGAAACCCTGACCATAATTTCCTCATTCTTGATTTTCGTCTTAGTTTCGCACCTGGACTTCACCCTGTGAAAGTGTCCCACAATTTGCATTAACCTCCTGTACATATATGTATAAAATATTACAAATAAAAAAAAGAGTATTTTAAATTACAGATTGAAAATTCCGTTCATATAAATTCTTCGAAAGTGTGAAATACAAGACAGCTTCATGATTTGAATTTACAGTTTGCCGAATATCTATTGATCCCATTACACGTGTGGGTGAAGTTGACAATCGGCTGCTTACATAACACGCTGATATAGTATCTATATACCTGCAATTCCGCGCAAAACTACAGAAACAGGAAGAAAAACGTAGCTATTTGGCGAAAGCCAAGGACAAGCTTTTGAATATTGATAACGATATCCCGGTAAAGAAACCTATGATTAAATATTTAGTATTAATGGCACGCCGTTTTAACACCACTTGCCCATTGTGTATATAAACGCGCGTAAACTGGCGAAAACACTACTCGCAAGCTCGAAAAGTGGTAGTGACTGTCTTCGAATCACCCAAACGTTGACATTAATATCGTTCAGGATGAAGTTCGTGGTTATTTTCTTGTTCTGCTGTGTCGTTACTGCGTTGGCGAGGCCCGAATTTTTGGCGGTAAGTAACGTGCAAGCTTCTTTCTAAGAAAAAAAGAACAAGTGATTCTACGATTCCACGTTCAGAACGGTTCCAAATCACAATAATGTTTTCAAGGATAAAAAAACAAGTGATTCTAAGATTTCATGTTCATAACGATTCCAAATACAGGAGACATCACAATAATATTTCAAGAGTAATTCGTTTAAAATATTAATTTGCGAATTAAACAGATACGAGACCGTTGGCTTCAAAGTGGTCCCCTTAAGACTGTACACACGTGTTCCAACGACGCATTCATTGATCCACGATAAGTGTAAAATCGGTTAAGCGAGAATGGGGCCTGATAAGGCGGTCAATGTCGTCATTGTCAATTCAGATACTAACTACTTCTATCCTCTCTATTGTCGTCTACGAAGAGCTAACATAGTTTCAAATGTTCTAAACATTAATTTCTCTATTCTGGGAACATTATTGTCATACCTCGTACACATAAAGTCTTTCAACGATCAGTTTGAGCAGTAGGATAAGACATCAAGTCAACTTATCAAAGCATTGTTATTAATTGTATTGCATCTTTAGGAGGATGACCTGCAAGCAGATGATCATCTAGAGCTTAATAATGTAGCAAGTAAGTACGATAATTACGGTTTCTTTTGGGGGGGGGGGAGGGCCTTATGAAGGGGAAAGAAACGCGTTACCTCGTTCTTTAAACTATATTTCCTTTTTTAGTCGTTACGTAAACGTTCGATGGGACTAATACGCGGATGTAGGCGGGTAGGCGAATTTACTTTCATCAGCACAGTTGATACGGGAATTCTGTCAATTTAATTTTCAACGAAATTACGAGACGATTCTTTATTAACGTATACACAAGTTCTACATACATAATCATTGTTACGTTAGTGGATCGTATCAGACGAAGCGGTGAAAGCGGCGAGAAGGGTTCGAAGAAATCTAAGGAATCCGGAGAATCAAAGGAGGACACGAGCAATGGCGACGAGAGCTGTACTGAGCAAGAGACCTCGAAAGAACAAGTCACATGTAATGATAGTGAAATAGTCATTGTAGTCTGAGAAACGGCGACGAGAAAATGAAAAATTCGAAATTTTGTTTAGCTTCAGTAAGTAAACGAAGCATAGAGGATTCCAGTTCCGGACAAGGCACCAGCGAAGAGGGCGATGGAGGAAATGGTAAATCTGGATCAGGGAACGGTACATATTAATATTCATAACAGAATTGTATTTGTCGGAAATTTAGAAGGCTACCGTATCATTTAAATCGACCCTCTCGAATACTTTCGAAACCGTTGACGATACCGAAAAATTTTGAGAGGGGGATAGTTCGATATAAATAGTTTTTTCGTAGATGAACGAATAGGAAGGTCATATTGATTTTTTTTTAATGGAGTCGTGTATTTGTTAATGCATTCGTCGATGCTGCTTGCCATTCCCTGTAAAAAGGAATTAGTTAGGAGACATTCTATTTTCAAAATTATGGTACTGGTAATACAATGTTTACTTTCTTGAACCTTAACTGAATATTTTGTTTTTAATAAAATGTGTTGAATAAATAGACTGCGGATTTTATGCGTTTATAGAATATCCAACCGTCTAATATTCAATGTAGCGTAAAGTTTCAAAAAGTATACCCAGGTTTTCTTTTTATTTCGTATCTACTAGAATCGTTAACAGGATAAATAAATTTTTCTTTCCGTCCTGTTTCGGGAAATTAATCCATAAAATTTTATATTTGCATTAAAATACGCAGTCTATTATTACTAATAAGGTTTCCACATTACCAGTCAAGGGTTAAAGTTGATGTTCAATGTTAGTTGTTAGATGGAGGATTGCCAGAAGTAGGGAAAACAACGCGTAAGGAGAGAGTGACGTAATAGGGAGTAGCAGAGAAAATATATGTATTTTTGTGCTGGGAGGTGACATCGTGCTTTCGTTCGTGGTAGCATGCTGTGTACAAGTTGTATTCGTGTATATGTCTAGCTCTACGTGACGTCACCTTCTCCCTACCGGTGGAGATTTCTCCGGCAACCCTACTTAGATATCGCGGATAGCATGCATGCATTTAAGTACATTAACAAATCTATAATTCCATTAAAAAAAAAAACATTTCTGACCCTCACATATCCCCTACGTGTCCACCTACAAAAAAAAAAATCACATCAAATTATTTCACTCCGAAACCATTTAAAATTTATCTAAAAAATGTGTCGGTGTCACCAACGGTTTCGAAGATATTTGATGTTATTCGATTTAAACGTCCAATAGTAAATGTGCAAAGACGAAGTTCCTATCCACGTGTATCTGTTATATGTATGCTTATGTATCGTCGAATTTGTCGGCAGATCAGAGGTTTAGAGTGTTGCAGGAGGTCGTGCGTATCATTTGAGACATTAACATCCGCTCGTGTCAGTGTCGTTGTCACGAGCAGAGAAATGATCTCTGACCGCGACGCACTGTTTTCCGTTACATACAGGTGGTGGGGGTCTCATACCATTCGATTTGAACAATGCTGTGCAAACGATCGCGCGTATATTGGGGATACCTGAGATAAAGAGCATAGATGACATATGGCTCCGTATCCGTAAAGATCCCGCAATCAAACCGTTCGCGGACGTGCTTGCTGAAATACAGCAAAGCCTCATGCAATTGCCAAACGCCTCTGTTACCGATTTCCCGAAGATGTTACTGTCATTCGGCCAGACTATATCAAATGCTGTAGTGACCATCCCGGCTGTAAGTGTTGTTGTCAGTACGTGTGCAAACCGGAAGTGATTCCCTTATTGGACGTACTGACGGGACTGCGTGTTCTCTTTCGTGTTTCAGCTGCCGGTTAGTCTGGTATCGAGGATCTTGGGATTGTTCAGCGCGGTACTACGCGGTGTCGTAAATGTAATGACAGGATCGGTTAATATTTTTTAACAGAGGTATTCACGGTGTATGTAGAATTTCTTAGGGTTGATTATTTATTAAAAAAATAACTGCATGTAGCGAAATATATTACTAGTGTAATAAAGTTGCATAAGTAATATGAATCACGACCAATCGTTGTTGTACTCGATTCAATGCCCCTCTTGTATTTCCGTTGGCGGTGCTTTCGTTATCGGAAACGGATCGAAGCTCGCGAAGTTTTCTAATTACCAGTAATTATCCTGTCGATCACGGATGTGCTTCCGTGGAAGCACGTAGACGCCGAGGAGGCGAGCCTCGCCGTACATCGTCAAGCAAATCGAAAGAGAAAGTAACCGCCGTGTCGTAAGACTGTGCGACGAGTTTATAGGAGAGCAGAACGAAATCTGTTAGTTCGCAAGCGACTGTGTAACGACGAACATCTTTCTTGGTGTATTATCTTATTTGCAATCAAATATTTCTCGAGTCGTTCGCGAGAACACAACGATTTAATAGAAGGTAAGTGACGCTTACATAGACGTTCCAATCCAGTACATTGTGACACTTAACAGACAGAAAGAGTATTTTGTAATTCGTAATTGTGTTAATGAAGTTGTTGAAATTTCTACCAAGAAATTTTCATAACTAGATAACCACAATGAGAGGCACAGTGAGACGAAAAAGTGTACTAAGGATATGTGTTCTCATCTTCGTTTGCCGATTCGATTTGTCGGTCGGTTTACCAGCTGAACAACCAACGAAATTCACGTTGAACACCGGCGACGCAGGTACGACAGCGAGACCAGCTTCACAGGCGACTTCGAGGTTGGATCAAGGACGAGTGAGTGGTTTCTGGAATTTCGATTAATAATTACGACGAATTTTAATCGTTAGAAACGTTCAAAGAAACTTGGAATTTACCCAGCATTGTAAACTCTGCGCGAACAGAGAACAAAATAAAAGCGGCAGAGGTTCGAGTCACAAACACTTGATCCAAATATTTTGATGAGTTTCTGCGAAATATTGCATTTCGGTTTTTGTAGGAGTTGTTAGGTCGCGTCGCGGACGGGATAAGAATCGGTGCCGGAAGATTCGTGAATTCAGTCACGTTGGCCAGAAACATCATAGTCGATCAGGCGGAGGTAATTGGTGCATTAAATTATAAAAAATAAACTTTCTCCTTTGAACATTTCCACGTACATTACACTCGATCATCCGATCGAAACGGCTCAAAGGGCACATTGAATCATCCCGCAACGATGTTTCGCAATTATTCGGGGCAAGGCTAACTTATTCTTCTTTTTTTATCATATGTTGTAATAACATCATAACGAGAAAAACTTGTCATGCTTGGAATGCCTCGAGGTCGAATCTTTCAGTTAACTAGTTCAATTCGTTTGGGGACGTGAAAGTCCATGGACCGTAAGCTTGTACAGAAAAATAATCATTCACATTTAACGAAGATTATTTTAAGTGAAAAAATACTAATTACGATTCAAGGGTCCCTGCAGGCCCCCTGGAGGAATCCTTCAACGGATTCCAATGATCCCCTAGACTCTAGGGTCTAGAGGATCATTGACATCTGTTCGAAAGACCTCAGAGGCTTTTAAAGAAGTTCTGTGAAGAACATCTGATGGTACTTCTGAAGTTCTCCGATTTCAGAGGCCCTTCAAGAAATTCTCTAAACAATGCTAAAAGCTCCGAGATCAAGTCCCTCGATTGATCTCAGAGACCCTTGGAGGATCCAGCAATGAACCCAAAAGTCAGTTGAACTAGCTGTGACAGCATCTTAGCGTTCCTGGGAGCAGTATTCTAAGGGAACTTTGAAAACCCCAAAGGAACCATCGAACAGATTTCAAAGGTTCATAGAGAAGTTCTGCAATGGACCTCAGGGGCCCTTAGAGGAGTCAGAACTTAGGGGTGTTTGGAGGAATCCTCCCAAGGACCCCTAAAGTTCTGAAGACTTTAAGGGACCTTCAGAATCCTTCAGAGGAACTCCAAAAACTTTTGAATCAGAAATCCAACGGCCTTCAGAGGCCCAGTAGAGAAAACCTCCAAGGAACTCCAGAGATGCTCAGTAGGTCCCTCCATGGGACCTTTATCTGGTCAGATTGCTCGTCGAGCCTAAACACTCGACGGAAAATGTCAATTTCTGATTGCGCAAACCTACCCATATTGTCTATACAACCTTTTAGTCATGCGGAATGCCGGTTAAGAGATTAATATCTATTCATTTCAAACTGTAGAATTACTTGCTAATAATTGAAGACTAGGTAAAAAGAAGGCTGTCAGTGCACATGTAAACGTATGATAAAGCCTGCGTTGTGACCAGGCTTCAATCATTTATTCCATGAAAGAATCTGGACCGTAGATAGTTGATTATGTTAATTAGGCCTCTTTTACGATCTTGTATGAATTATTATTGAAAACGCTAGACATATGATGAAATTCATTCTAATTACATATTCCCATGTGCTTTTACTTAGAACTCTTCATGCTCCATTAACAAATATAATGTTACAGAACGTGACATTTCAGATTTTACACTTCCATCGACAACTTCTGTGGTATAATTCTTGCTTACTGCATTAACAGAATTCTGACCTTTATGGATAAATAATTGTACAATGTAATAATGTGTCCACTATATAGATTCGAAAGCATAAATAAGTAACACTTTAACCCATATAGCACATGACGCCTTGAAGACGGCTTAAAGGCGCCTCAGACCTAAAGTAGCCATAAAATAGGCATCTTTAAGGCGTCATGTGCTATCTGGGAATGAAACTGTAAGGGAACGAATTAGTGATTTCAACACCTAAAGATTCGTTCCAAGTGGAAATATCAGAATCAAGCAACTGGATTACTTACTAAAAATATATATCAAAGAGCTTTCTTTAACGCTTCTATCGTTAGAAATTTTCATCTCCAGATCACACGAAGAGGAGAATTATTAATTTTTGTTTATCGATCAGACATTGGCCAGCGAATCACAGAATAGCGTGGCCACTGTGCTCGCTCCGAAGATAGATACTGCTCAAAACTCTGTTGAATCGATCACAAGTGCACCAGTAATTAATACCAGACCAAACGCTCGAGAAACTGTGCGATTGGAGTCGGAAAATGGCCAATCCCCTCTCGAAAAGCCAATTCCCAAGCCGTTTATGAGCATTCTGGAGTCTTTCTTCAGACCTACGCCATTGCTCGATGGTATCAAGGATCATGAGAAATATGGAAATACCGGGGACAAATTTATTGGAATTGGTAGAGCTCTGGTCAGTGGTTTCGAGGGGCTCAGCAACTTCTTGAACGCTGTAGTTGACGTGAGTATTTTTCTCCTTAGCTTTGTGTCAGAATATTTACATCTTGAGGATTCTGAATTTAACCCTCTACTGCCCAAATTAATTTCTAATGTTCAACAAATTTTTTATTTGCTTGTGCTATTTACTGTTGACCCATTGAACACTACTTTGTTGAAAGTCCAGTGGAACTTAACACGTTCACTGTCATAATGGTCACCGATGACCGGTGCCATTAAATTACACGAAGAAACATTGAATTTCTAAACAGGAACATTTAACATTTTAAAAATGTAATTAATAGTAGAGGAATAATGAAAGTAATAGGTGTTCAATTCAACATAAATATAAACATGAATAATTTTTCTTCAGTTGCCGCGGAACGCCGCCAAGAAGACATCTCGAGGAATAACGGAAGCCCTGAATAACGTAGGAGCGCGTCTAGTCGGACTCCAGTGACGCATGTAAATACTAGGGACTTCTACCGAAACGTGAAATACCGGTATTTATTTCGGTTTTCGATAATATATCGGTTTCGGTATAGCTTTGATGGCATAATACCGGTTTAAGTCCCTGGTAAATACTAAAACTTAACAAACCGTTTGTTTTTTGTTAGTAATTCCCTGTTTCTTTAATAAATCGTTTGTTTTCATTAAATCAACCTGTCGAATTCACCTATAGTTATTGTTAACCCTTGGAAGACGAACGGTTCGATGGCGTGGATGAGTTTCAACCCCTTCACATCATTTTTTCTAAATACATTTTCAACCAAAGCTCTTTGCGAAGTTCTTTTCTTTTTATTTGAATTAATATAAACAATTACTAATATAAATTAGTTATCAAAAGCTCTTGAGTTGGATCAAGTTCTTGTAAATTCGTGTCAAAACAACCCAGTGATACGAGGGTTAACAACGTATGGCAACAAATGACAATCACTATCTAGTCGCATAAATATATTATTTATTATTCGAACAATATACATACAACGTTACGAGCTGTTGCGTCACTTTACACGGCACTTCGATAATTTTTATAAATTGTTTCGTGTACCAGAACGCGATTACACGTTCCGCTATTTACCATCAGCAGTTTCGATCGAACGGCGTAATACACTCAAGATCACGCTCCCGCAACGAAACAATAGGCGTCACGTGCTGCTAAATTACCGACTATTAGTACGATGGTGTACAGAATAAAATAAATATACTATAAAACCGTCCGATCGACACACCCGTGGTTTTAAAGCTAAACGAATGATATCTCGACGGCCATGGATCCCTGGTTCCCACGGGAGTGTGTCGACGCGACCTTAAACGTTAACGAGTAAGAATACTTGTTCTCGCGTTTGCACGGTCAGGCACGTAGGCAAAACGATAGACAACAGATATCGAGAAATATCGAATTGATCGGTGGCCATGTCTGGTCGTGCAAACAGCAATTTTGGTATACGCGATATGTTGATAACGTTACACATTAAAACGAAGGAAAATCGCATGCAGAATAACATAAAAGATTGCATCCTATAATACGAGAACAATTCTGTCGATTGTTTCCTAACGCTATTTAAATCATCGAAATTGGCTCCGTGACGGCAGTCACTTCCGTTTCGTTTCTACGTATGTAAGGCCAAAATGGTCGCTGCGACTACGATCCCAAGAAGTCAGTGTTTCTTCGGGAAAAGCTCGTCGTACTGTCCAAGAAGGAATCATAAATCAAAACTAACGACCCATTTAAACTAATGAACCGACTTACGTATCGCTTCGAGCTGGTCTCGTCAATCATTTCGTCCCGCGATCTCGTTCCATTAAATTTTACGATCTCCGTGGCAATTATCTGAACGTCGAGATGTTTTCGCGACAAGGATCCTCTTGTTCGCTAGATCCTATCCTAGGTTCACGAACAAACATCTGTTTCGACGTGTACACAACGGATAAAAAAATGTCTTATTAAAAACGAAGAAACTTCACGATGCTGATCAGATGTCGCTTCGCGGTTGTTTGTGGAACGATCGAAATCCTCTTCAGACTTGGCTGGAAGGGGATCGTGATCGTTGCGCGCGATGGGTCGGCGTCCCGTGGATCTTAGACGCTGGTCTCGTCCAAGATCCAACGGAAATTCTAGGTGTTCGTGGTGTCGTAGCTCTTGTACGTGTGGGAGGATCTCTTGTGCCTGACCGTGCAGAATAGGATCATACTAGCCACCTGACCGAACAGCTGAAGGAAAGCGACCACCAGGCCAACGGTCCCGACCACATGGAGCCTGGTGACCAGCCACATTTGAATCGCTGAGACGCAGCCCTCCCTGTACCACAGCTCCTTGTTACGACCGTTCAGATCGAGACGACCGCAGTATCGTTCGCGTTGCATGCAACAGGAGTCGGGCACACGATCCTCCGTTGGCCACGCGTCGATCTGGAACCAGTCGGTGTAGTCCCGTACACCGCAGCAGTGGAACTGAAACAGTCCAGAAGGATTTATCGACTTTCAATGTGGAAACTAAATATCGTAGGGTGAACCACAATAACTTGTTCGTTTGGTGATTATTTTATCCCCTGGCGAGACGTTCTAAACTTTCTGTACACCTTGAATAATGTATTGGGTTGATATAATAGAGTAATGGGTTGAGTGTAGATGTTTATGCAAATTTGTTTTTAAAAAAGAACGAAGTTGGACAGAATTTTATTTTCTGTATTAGGGATTTAATAGGTAGTAATAGGAAATATTGAGATTTTCTTCTTTTTTCCTATTTAATGATATACAACAATTCTTTAAAATCATCTGACAGATGATAGTTACCGACGCAGGCGTTACAGAAATTGTCTTAAATTTCTTGTGTGGAGAAAATTCCCATTATTTGTGCATCAACCCAATACTTCAGAAGAGGTTATAGACTTCTGTAATTAAGAATTTTTTCTTTAATAGCAAATGAATTTAATGGTGTTGTTTCCTGTCCATTTGAAGTAGAGCGTAAAAAAATATGTAACAGAAGATACTTGGAGAGTGATTCATCTTGCACGCTGCATTCAGAATGCAGTCTGCCGGATTAAATGCACTTGTGCAGACGATGAACGAGTGAATGCATAGTTCCCCCAATTACGCAAGCATCCCGATTTAATGCTGAGCATGCATCTGTAATTTATTGTCGCGTGTGCTTTCATTACTATTATTCGCAATCATGACCACGTTGCTGTGGGCGTAAGACAAGAATATTGTCGAGTTACCTGTGTACTTTTGTTTCGAAATGAATGAGAAATATTCAATTACTGCTCGTTGAATGAATGTCCACTAGGTAGTTTGCGGGGACCTTGAGAGAAAATGGTACACACCATCGTGTAGAAAAATTTAGATCGAAGAAATCTTTAACAATGGCTGTACTGAATTACTCTGTCTAAACATAATACCTTAAACCTTTGTGTATGCTTAAAAACTTCCTTTTATGTATTTATATCGTACACGATTGTCTAAATCATTTTTATAAAATTGTTTACTACACGTAATGCGGTTTTAATGGAGCCTGATAGTAGTCTTAATCTAATAAAAAATGTTATGTATCATTTGAGCTTCTAGAAATTCGTTTTTACAACATAAATATCGGCTCCGCGGTTTTTGCCACAAATCCCATGAGCAGGTATTTCAGCATATCATATGTAACATAAATTATAAATCCCGATACAGAAAGTTACGAAAGTATAATACTTCCAACATTTCTTAAGCAATACAAAATACACTTCACTATAAAATATAACAAAGAGTATAAAATTATCTCAATTTTTAGAAAAAATGTATCAATTGCACTACACATGAGTCAATGTCAATATCTACAAGAATGCATATTTTACAAGGTATTTCTAGATGGTACAGACAAAAATGAAAGGTACCAAGAAGGTTAATCCAGTTACCCCACATTCAAAAGACCATTACCTCACTCTGTATATGGTCCCAAATAACAGGAATGGTTCCAGGTTCCTTCGTCAAGTTATAATGCTTCTCAATACCGAAGAGCAGTTCCTCCTTCAAGCTCTTCGCCAGATGTTCCCTGAAGATGAACGCTAAAGTCCCAAGCATGAACTCCGCGAGGAACATCAGCATCACCAGGCCGAAATACTAAAGAGGAAAAACATTTCGATCGGTTCATCGATACTCGAGCGAATATCTGAGATCAGCGCGAAGGTGAACGCGTCACGGGGCTTAAATCGCTACGAACCGTGATCAGCATGCACCTGGATTGAAACCAGGCACCGCAGCATCCGAAGAAGGCGATCACGAAGGTCACGCAACCGGCGGCTAGCAGCAAAGAATCAGCTGATGCGAAACTGTAATACGGCATCAAGGTCGTGTATCCGGAGTACGCCAGTCGTAGCCAGAGGCCTGCACCCAAAATTCCGCAAGCGCATAACTGTAAATGGAAAAGAAAAAATGCACGAGGTCAGAACGGCGTGTGGCCTGGATGCGCCTCGAGCGTGAAGCGTTTGTGTGTGTGTTTTTCGTTGGGCGGTACCGACGACCCGATGGAAACACTGTCAACCAGTCACAGACAGGTGGATTCTTCATTGGTCAACGTACAAATTTGTCCCTGATACCTGATGGCCAGTACAGACGATACGGTTTTGTTTACCGATTTGGTGATTTTGTCGAATTGATGAAAAGTCAGTGTTCATAGTAGAGATCCCTATTTCACGTGTATTTAAATACGGTATTTGTATTTAAAAACAGTCTATATGGAGTCTGCCTGTACGAAACAAAAATTCTCAAGAGAAAAGGCAGTATTAGGTATAAAAATATTTATTTAAAGAAAAAGTAAATGGAACGAATACTCCGCGTAAATCGAGAGACGGGTGTATATTTAAATTCTCGTGTATTAACGTATTTGTATTTTGATTCGTCTTAATTTTTAGGGTACAATTACTAATTTTCGAAAGGAAAATATGATTATACAAAATAGATGCAAAAAAAAGTTTGAAAAGTGAATATCAAGGAATTGCAGAACTCGCAGTGACACATTTAAACATACTGGAAGCATCAGTTGCCTCCAACAGATGCTTTTCAACTGTTGGGAATATAGTCAATTATTACTAGAAAATGTAAATATATTAGTTGATGCCGTATCGAAAGAGATAAAACGTTTGGCTTATATCGAGCACATTGCTTTTCGTTTAAAATAAAAAAACACTCGTCATATTAATAGTGACAATATTATTATGAGACGAATCAGTTCTCTCTCATATTTTCCAATAAACGTAACAAACGAAGTTATTTTGAGGTTATTTTTATAGTAGTTTTCAAAGGTAGATTAAGTTTAAAAATTGGAATTTTGGCCAGTCGTTTGAGACAAATACTCCACCGTACGACATACGAAAATTCCTTTTGAAAAACATGCGGCCGGTTAAGTGATAAGTTGTCATTTGTTTAAGTAGATATTTCTCTGTTACACGTTGACTGCCGCAGTGAAAAAGGTCGTACGTAATCAGACACATTTTAGTTCGACTTTTAAGTCATAAATCGTTGAAAATATATGTGCTTATTTAGTAGACACGGTTTTTAATTATTTTGTCTTCATTTAAATTGTACTGCGATATCAATTTTACGAAAAAAAAAAAAAAAAAAAAGGGGGCAGGTTCTCCTTGACCATTCAGTGCACAGTTACGCGACGAACGATCCGTCCCCGTACCAACGAACGTGTTTGTACTTACTCGGCTTCCGTAAGCGTGGCGATCGGTGTCACGAATTGCGAAAACAGGCGAATCACTCGGGGGGAACTAATTTCCGTGTTATTTACCATTCATCTCTAATTACCACGGGACTTTCGATTCCTGGCGACCCGAATGATTCCACCAGCCAATGTTGAGTACGTACATTGAATTATTTACTTATTTATAGAAAAGGTACAGGACGGGACTAGGATTGCCAATCGTCCAGGATTGGCCCGGATCGTCCAGGAATTGAAGTTGCTGTACAGAATCCAGATTGAATGTCAAAATGTCCCAGAATTCCAGAGAAAACTATCGACCATTATCACCTACACTCCAAAATAGTTAAAATAAAAAAAAACATAATAAACTGTATTATAATTTCGTACATATCTTTTGTACATAAAAAAAATTTCCTCGGAATACTAGGTATGTTATGTTAAGTGGTTTCTCAGTGGAGAATATTGTGAAATTACATATATTTCAGTTTTGGGCAATATGTCCAGGAATTGTCTCAGAAAAAGTTGGCAACCCTAGACGGGACACGCGTCGTCTGACGCCAATGGGTTCCAGGCACGGTGAGAATCTCGATTATTCAGCGTCTGGTACAATGAAAAAGTGGGTCGGGAACGAGAAAGCACAGTCGGCTCGTATTGTAACGCAAATGGCACCGACACGATGGTTTTTCCAGCCGCGGGACTGTCGGGGGTGGGGGACGGGATATGAAACGCGGCTCGATTTACATTTCCACCCGTGTCTTTTCTTGCGGTCGTCGAATATGATTTCAAAGGGAAGTAATCATCTGGGTCGGGGCGAGACTCTGTGTGTTTCTGGGCGAAGCTTAGAGGATATCGGTGAAAAAAAGATTGGAAGGAACATTGACCTTTTCCGGAGATTGTTGCGGTTTAGCAATTTGCCATCGGCGTTGTTGAGAGTTGGTGCGAGGCGCGACATTGCTGGAAGATTAAAGTAATCGTTGAACCGGGCCAGATGTCAGGTTTACGAGTTGTACCGTTCCTTTGTGCGGGGTCGACCTATTTTTCGTGTAGAATCACTAAACTTTCGCTTTGGTATGACAATGTTGACGAGAGGATTTACAGGTGCTGCACTCTGTTTTAATTAGTGCTGGTCTAATACCGATCTAACAGGGGAACTTTGGTACGTTAGTAGAAACATGAGGCAATTTTTTGTTTTCGCTGGTATTTTGTTCTTCGAAATGACGATATTACAGTTTGATTATTTCACTCCTAAGCTGCTTCTATAATATTAAACTTCGTAAACCGCAAACTCAATTTTCTCAATTTAGAAATTAATGGAGGTAGAGCAATTAAGAACTAGATCGACGAAGTGTCCTAGTATTCTGAACAAGGAGTGTATGTCAATCGGATCACCCGGTATACAGGTACTACCAACGATAAATTTGCCAAGTTAGTCACGATAGGAAACGTTTCCAGTCCTCGTCAGGACTGCCACCGGTGGATAAGACAACGGGCAATCAACAACCGGCGACAGAGAGGCCGCGGGCGGAATATTGACCGTAAACGGGCGAACACGTCGAGCACACCGTGAAAATTAGCATCTGTGTAGTAACGAGCGTTATCCAATCCGGTCAAACTAGTTCGAAACAGAGGGGGGAGAAGCGATTTGAGCGTCGGAGCCGGTATCCCCCAGAAGCACCGTGCTCGAGCGACCCAATATCGTGGCGCTTCGTGCACCGGTTTCATCGATGGGGCGATCAACATCACGGCACTATCGACTGAACAGGGGGGCTGAATGAGACCCAACGGTCGCGAATTAAACGATTAAAACGATGCTCGACTTACGCGGCCGATGAAACGAGTACCGTTAAGGATCTCGTCGTGCAACGGCCACTGGAGAACGCGTCGACTCCCTCCGATTAACGAACCGACTGCGTTCGCGCGCGAAATTAAGTACGCAATTTCAGCACGGTATGATAACGGTCGGAACTGACCAAGCGTGCAATTAAGGGCGTAATTAGAGCACCCGGAAAATTGCACCAGGGACATTGACAGGGCCGGTTTTCTGGCGTCGGGTTGGAATTAATTTGGCCCTTTCGATTCTGGTACACCTACTTTCGGTCTGATATCATTTTTAAAACACTGTGGTTTATAATAGTGTTTAATTCATGCAAAGGATTTTTGAGATCTAGATTCCTTGAATGTTAATACTAGTCATTTTTGATTTAGTAGGAATTGCGCCACTCGGATTAGCAGCTCCCTTCTGATGAGGTGTCAACGCATTCACGACTGTTTTTGAAGAATAATACTTTGAGGATTGATGAGGCCATAGCGGCCTGTCATGAGTGGCTGATGTCATATGAGTATTGACTGGTACTTTTCATATGTTCAATGTTATTCACCTTTTTAACAATAACTATATTTTAATAATTCTTGACAAAAACAGCCGATCACTAGTGAAAGTTACTTTGGCAAACTAGCTGGTCGTTATAGTGTGAAGGGAATTGAACTCTTTATATTGTGTTATAATATTGTACAAAGGGTGAGTCTGTTGTAACGTATCTATTAACTGATGGAAAGCAGTTAGCTCGTCCTTTCTTGCAATGGTTATTCATTTTTCTATATCTACAGTTACTTCTATCAAGTCTAGTTATGTTTCAAAGGTTTATTTAATTTCTATCAACTTAGCGCTAATTAATAGATTCAGGTTTGAGAACCAATTTCAATTAGATTAGAGGTGTATGTTCAAATTTTATGTGTTCCAGTGAGGTAACGTTTGTAATCGTCAACGACCATACCTCGCTGACAATACCAGTTCTCGTCCGATCACTGAAGTCAAGCAGCGATGGGCGCGGTTAGTACTTGGATGGGTGACCGCTTGGGAATACCGCGTGTTGTTGGCATCTTTTTTTTTTCTTTCAGCTTTTTCATAAACGGGTAACAAAATACCTGTGCTCATTGACTTCAATTGTTATTAATATTTAAAGATGACTTCATTCTAACGATTTAAAACACTTTTTTTTATGGAAATAAAATATTTTTTCATACTTCGTAGGCAAGCTGGGTCATTTATGTCCAAGACTAATTTTTCTAGTGATTGATGTTTTCAAAGCATCTAAAAAAATTCTGAAATACTCATCGAAATGTCTACTACAATATACAATCGTTCCTTGAGTCAAACGTTTAAAACATTTGTCAATAAAAATAAAAATTCAGAGAGTGTCCAAGAGAACTGGGAAGTCGCTTGTGTATTCAACGACCCACATTGCCTACGGATGATTAAAACCGGCGATTATCGGTGGGTCAATAAAGTTTCAATAGGTCAAAAAATGAATCCCAATGTCATCTCAGTCATCAGAGACATCTCCAACACTCCAGAATTACTATATGTATTCAAATCGATCGCTCTTTCCGTTTGCCCGGTTCAAAGACCGTCCTCGAAGCATGAACACGTGCCGTAGATCATACACCTGTTGTACGACGGCGGAAAGAAAGGAAACAAACGTCCAATGTACCTGTTGAAAGCGTAACCAGGAAAAAGTTCCTCTCGAACGAGCTCGTGCGCGTGTGTACACGAGCGTCTTCGCGGGTACCGTAAGTTCATAGCTCATAGAGCACGGTTCAATGTCCTATTTAAGAGCTCCTCGTGGCGGGGACGGATGATTCCAAGTGGAACAATAAATTCGAGAGACAGAAAGAGAGAGACGAAGCGCGCTGGAATGCACGGAGAATGACAATGCGCGCCGATTTAATCGCACGAGCGCGTGGGCAGGTTTCTACTGCTCTTCTCTGGTTCCTCTGTACGGGACGTGTACTGCAACCATTGGAAAATTAACATGTCGATTGTTTTCGAACGTTCCCGGCCGGTCTCTCCTCGAGAGCGTGACTGTGCTTTATGGGCCTTGGACGCGAGTGTTTTTGATTCGCGAGCACCGTCAGCGGAATCCGCGGAGAATATTTATTTTTAACCGGTTAGAAAGACGCTTTTATGAGCGATGATCGAGTTGATGGGACCGCCTATTGCCGTGAAGTCCGAGTGAATACGAAACGCGAGGAAATAGCTATGAAAAAACGTAACTAATAGTCACAGCGAAGGTTTCAGGGACACACTGTCTATACATAAGAAAGAACATTAGTTTCGTATTCAAAGGCTTGTGCCTCATCGGTGCAGTAATTGCTTTGTATATCATACTTCGTAATACTGTAGTAACTTGGATACTTTTCACTGGGTCGACGTCTAGTTTTAGGGCGAATGTGCGTGAAGAAATAACGAATTGAACGGTTCGTGTTCTTATAACATTATACTTATAAACATTGTACAAATATTTTACACCGAAGGGACCTATAAAGATATTTAAGTAAATAAAAGATCTAATCATGTTTTAGTATGCATTATATATATGCAAATTTGAAGGAAGGAACAATACGTGCATAAATTATGAAACATTCTTCGCAGTAGTGTACAATAATAACTTTCGTCAGGTGTTATATTAGGTGTACCAATCAGTAATTCACTATGGTTACAATACTGGTGTAGCACAATTCAAATTCAGAATATTTTTCTGAATAGACATTCGTACAGACATATATGAATTATTGTGTTCAAATATTCTTTTAGTAAAAATTCCAAATAGATATTTAAAAATCCCTTCTCATATTCATTCAAGAGTCACAATCACACATCAAAGTATTTGATACGTTATTCGTAAACTATAAAGTGTCTATGCAGTAAAATAATTCCAAATCTCGTAATTACTTAATTACGCAAATAACAGTAGAGTTTAAAAGAAAGATAGTACATACCCAAATAAGAACGTTGAGGGAGCAAAAGACGTGCCTGATGCACGTGTATCCTGTGCGGCCCATGGCTCGATTCTTCGCAAGATGCTCACGGCAAAGGGACTGGCACCGTTTCCTAGAACCACAAAGAATCAAATGTCGTAATTCCCCCGAGGGACAGAAGCAGGACTCATAAACAAACATTCCATACAAATTTTAATCGACACACACACATTCATCGATTCGTCAATCTCAATGCTCGTTACTTGTTAATTAACATCCATCCACTTTCCCCGTGTCATCTCATTAAAAAGACGATCGATCAAACGTTTTAACCGTCAACGACACTCGACCATGGCATCATGGGGGATCCACGATCGCGAGTCAACGGGAAACAATTCTCGCGTGTAGACTATTATACGCGAACTGCGCATCGCTTTGAATTACCAGGAAACGCCTTGACCACCAACGAAACCGAATCGAGCAAAAAGAAGGGACGAATGGAGAGGCAAACCAGCAGAAGATGAAGATAAAGCCGGCACGGAACTCACGAGGTTGTTACGAGGAAACGTAACGTGATGGAAGGAAGCACCTGGCTACCGAAGTCCGTAGATGCTTGATCGGAGAGAAAATGGACACAGACCTAGTCTCTTTGACAATCACAGGATTTCTCTACTTTATTGAAATTGCCACTGGTTTAAATATAATCGGAGTAGTCATACATTTTCGGTAGTGCTGGTTTTTTGGATAGGGAGTACAGTCATGGGGCATAGTTCGAATATCACATAGTCACTATTTAGAGGCTGTCTTATCAATGGAACAGAGGTAATCGGTAATTGTTTGCTTGAAACATACAGTGAGCTGTTTTGGTCGTTACAAGATACACGACGCCCAATTACGTCTTCCGCTTTGATCACGGGCTGCCTCGCGAAAATCTCCTTGAGAACACGTTTAAGAGGTTATGCTAGTGCGACGGCTATATAATAAGGCAATTTTTGGGAATTTTTTAAAGAAAAACTATTGAACTTATCAATTTGAATAATATATATATTTACTAAATAATATTTGTAAAGTATGCTATATTTTTATAAAGTAAAAACAATGTATTTTTTAAAAGTTACAGTTCGTTGTGAAAATTCCATTCCATGGCGGCCATAGTATAGACTCTTGTGGTTGTGCGAAATAAAAAAAACAAATATTTTCTTAATTTGTATATGTGTGGCTATAGCCCGTACCAGAATACTTTAAAAAATTTGAGAAATAAAAAATGGCGTCTTCCCAAACAAAAGGTTTATAATATATCGAAAATATATTATAATATTTAAAATGTATCGATATATTTTAAATATATCGAAAAACTCGTGGTACGGCCCAGAATGACACATCTGATGAACAGATATGCCAAGTTTGAACTAAATCGATCAATTAATTTTTAAGCTATCATAGCCGCCGATTAAGAAAAAGTAGCTGCGAGAAAAACGCGATCAAACTTTCAAGTACTGTTTTAGAGCATAAAAAGAGAAACGTTTCATACTTACAGCTAATCACCTTTTCCGGGCCATATAAAACATCTTCCTCTTCCTCAAAAAAATGTTGCAAATTACAAAAAAGAAAAATCCGATTTTCTGAAACCATCACACTAGCATAGCCCCTTCATCCATTCCCGTGGATCGTTACCACTAATTCAAAATGAGTACAATAAACACACATAACTATCAGTCTCAAAGAAGACAAAGCTTACGGTCATGTTTTCAGCGACGGTTCACCCACCATTCTTGTTTGCACGAAACAACGCCAGATACACGAAACGTAACAGAACGCGAGCCGATTTTACCGGTTGACTGATCGACCGATCTCGGAGAGATGCCTCGTCGAGGGATCCGTTCCGGTGTGGTTCGGAACCGGGTTCGACGCAATCGACTGGTGGTCCCCTTCTGGGCCTTCTAGGTCCCCTAACGGGACACCCTGCCGACAGCAGAGAGGCCTCTTACCTATACACGATCCCGATCACGAATCGCGTGGGTCCGCTACGAAGGTGGTGGGCATCGCCTACGGAAAGGTGTGCCTCGCGCGAAGACGTCACTTTCCTACGAACGCCCGCTGCGAAACGAGAGAGACGTCAAGGCCGCCGGAAATCTGCGAGCCTGTTTTCTTACCCGCGAATGAATTCCGATTTATCCGACCGTCTATGCGGAGGAATCTGCATTTGACCTCTGGATCGGAGATTCTTGAAAATTATTCGTTTCCGAGGGCTAGAATCTTTCCATTCTTCTAAGTTGTCCGCGTCAGCGTTCGTTTCGGAATGTCACCGGTATTTTCCATTGGTTCTTTTTATTTTGAACTCTCGAGCGCTAAATCTACGGTTTTGATGGTCAGTTTGTATTGTATACTTGTCACTTTTATGTAATATTAATGTGATTTTTGTAGTTTTGGGTAATGTCAAGGTGAAACATGCAGTAAAATTAATAGTTTTGAATTTTTTTAAGGTAATCTAAGAATGTAGAAAATTTTAATAATATGTACAAGGTTTTAACACTGGAACTAGCGACGATAAATGTGTATCTATTTCCATGGATCGGTAAACGTGACAAACTTTTGAAAATTTTTCAATTAACTGATTTCTTCAGTTTTATATCGTAAAAAAAATTGTAAAAGAACCAAGAAAATGTGTCCAACATTTTGACCATCGTTATAAGAATGTACTGATCAGTCACTTTTTACTTGTTTGGTAGTTTCTATGTAGCGTTAATAAGTTCTTAACTATTCTAACTCCATTTTTAAAAAAAATTTATTTAATCAATCTACATGCGTCTTATTGGTCCAAAGGATACAAATTCACTATAATATAAAAAAACTTGAACCTAGAAAACAACAAATATATTCTTCTAACTTCAAACTTCGAGCCATTAAAAGACTTTTATTTCTTAATAACTATCTCTAAATACCAACAATTAAAAATTTCTATTAATAAAAAAAAGGTTTTCTTCTACACCGTTTATTTATTTTGCCATATGGCATCACCAGTAATCCATTGGTAGCACAATTTCGATCGCGCCGTGTACATAAATTCAGGATTAAGCCATTCAAGCTTTATCGTATCCACACAAACCACGCGCGATACCATCGCTGTCACTTGAAACACAGTATAAACATCGCCGTTGTGTGTTCGGAATCGTGGAATCGTGGAACAGTGTTTTCCCTCGTCGTCTCGCGTTCTGTCCGCGGAAACGTGGCGAATCTTTTAGAATTGCAATTGCTGGATCGAGAATTCCGTGGTGACCACGGTCACGATATCGGAAACTCGGATCTCAGGAACCGATGTCCGCGTGCTCGACAGATTTTTTCACGATGCATTAAACATCTCCATGGTTCACGCGCGCGTGTAAATAATGGATCTTGCGTCGACCCCGTTGAATAAAAGATCCACGGCGCGGTTTTACTCTCGCGACGACGCGGGATCGTTCTCATTAAGAGCTGGATCTCTTTCCAGCTCGCCCAGATCGCGCGGGTGGTAATTAAGATCGACGATTTCACTAAATTATGTACGTTTCTCCCAGGCGTTTTTCAGCAACCGAGTAAGGACACCGGAGATTATCAGACTCTCTGATCTGCGAAAGGAAGCGTGTTTGTCGTCTACTCGCGCGTGACATGGAACGATTTTTTTTACCACGAGCTTCGTCGAACCAGAGGTCACCAGACGACACTGTCTTCTAAATAGGTTGGACGCGCTCGATGGAGGCGCGAACACAAATTTCTTTGCACAGGTGAAGCGACGCCGACGCGGTCGGAACGAAGATCGCGGCAAGGTTATCGCGTGCTGTCGACCGTAACACTGACAGGGGAACTTCGGTACTCGGGAAATTATGTTTTTCTTTCTTGAAACTGCGCAGGTTTCTAGGGGACTTGAATAGAAGCATTGGGTGATTTTTCGTTTTTGTTTGTATTCGATTTTTCAGGGGGGAACCACCCCTTACATGTTAACACGTGTTTTCCTGGTTTTCTGTGTATCTTGAAAATTTTAGTGGATTTCAAAAAATTGTTGGAATGAACATTTTATGGGTCTTTGTGCTTTATATAACTATGCAAAACAATTGTTGAAAATTTGTTTAAGAAACAACATTTTTATAAATTACAATACACAAGTTTTATAGAGCATAAAAAGCCATTAAATTTTCATTGCAATCATTTTTTGACATCCACTAAAATTTTCAAGGTATACAGAAAAAGAGGAAAACATATGTTAACATTTAAGGGGTGCTTTTGCCCTGAAGAATCGAATATCAGCAAAAATGAAAAATTGTCTATTGCTTCTGTTGAGGTTCCCTACAAATTTGCGAAGTTTAGAAACAGTCGGAATTTTCGGAATAACGATGTTTCCTTGTGAGTTACAACTGTTCAACGAGTCACATTTTCACACGATTTTGAAACAAGTAAAACGTCACGGAGAAACGGCGACAAGGACGTAGGGAAATCTTGTCGCTTGATATGTGACAAATTGTTTGCGAAATATTTTTTACAAGTCGAATGAGAAACTTTTGATTTATATTTACTGAAGACGTGATGTATACGATCAGATATTTTGTGTCTCTTATTGTTATCGTCAGTGACGTATCTGGTTGAATTACTATTCGTAATACCGACGGTTCCGAAAATTGCAGACGACGGCTGGATCCAATTAGATTCAACTAATTCCACTTGTACAAAAATTGTAATTCTGACCATTCATCTGTGGGACGAATTTCAATTACTTTTTTAAATTTCTAAGTCCAATTCAAATCAAGAATTCAACTAATTTCACTTCTACAAAAATTGTAATTGTCACCATTCATCTCTAGGACGACCAATTTCAATTACTGTTTTAAATTTCTAAGTCCAATTCAAATCAAATAAAAAAATGAAGTTTAGAAAGTATCTTTCAAAATTCATCTAAATACTATTTTCACGCACCTCATATTTCCAGGCAAACTCATTCATTCACAATACTAGACTACCAGCTCTTCCTTTCCGATAATTGAGTGAAAGTGATCATTTTGCCAACAAAGACACACGTGAGAATCGGTTTACGGGTTCACCAGGAATTTTTACCGCGATGATTTATTCCCCACCGCGATCCCAGTGTCGTTATCAGGATTGAAT